TTTATTCAATGACTCACGAATGGGGAAAAGTGGAAAGCACGCATCGTTTTGGAATCAGAGATAGGATGGTCCAGGGCAGAGTTCCCTGACCTCGGCACTGTTGGCATTTTGGGGCTGGGTAATTCTTATTTGTGGGGGGCTGCCCTGTGCATTGTAGGATGTTCGGTGGCATCCCTGCCCTCCACCCATGAGATGCCAGTAGCAGTCCCCACCAAGCTGTGAGAGTCAAAAAGGTCTCCAGACGTTGCTGATGGCCCCCAGCCCTTCCTTGAGAACGACCGGCCTCATGAAAGTCACCACTAAGTCTCCTAGTGAAAACTCGATAGTTAGGTGTCCTGGGCTCAAGACCCCTGGCTCCTGAGAAGCTCCACCTGGCAACACTCCCAAGCCTCTCAGAGACTCAGTTTCCTCAGGTTAAAAGGTTGGAAGCTCCCTTCTGCCAGCCTATAGAGCCCTTGTCAGGACCATCTGCACTGCTGGGACAATGCTTCGAACGGCAAACGCGGTAATGGTGTGGTTCTTTAAGAAACTGGCAGAAAGCAAGCCAGTGAGACAGATACAGGGGACACAGGGGTGTTGCTCAGCCACATGGACGGGGCTCGGTGTGGAGTGGGCTCTGGTTCTCCCAATAACCAAGGCCTGCAAATTCCCTGCAAATATGCCGTGCACAACTGTCAGGATTTATTTCCAAGGCAGAATGGGGCTCAAATCTCCTCTTGGGGAGGCAGGAAACCAGCTTGAAAAAGGATCCAGGAGCAGATGACGACCTTGCCAAATGTCTGGATGGAGCCATCTGGGCAGGGGTGAGGCTGCCGCCACGGTCAGAAGACCAGCATCCGGAACCCCCCGGGGACCGCACCGCCGGTGCAGCCTCTCCAAGGACCAATGTCCACGTCATTCTCTGCTTTTATTTTCTATCTTGATAATAAACGCATGGCTTCTACAGTGACTCAGAACACACCACACACTTTTATTTCAAAATGTATGGAGTCAATTTTGTGTACTTTTTGGCTCTTCCATTCTGCTTCTGGCAGTAACTGTTTTCTCGCTCCAGGGAGTCTTTTATCGTCTTCAGTCATGATGGTTTGCATTGCTTTGTCCTTTGTCACTTTCCCTCCTCCTCAAAAAGGAACCCAGTAAATGTTCAAGGTCTGATCTCAGAAGGACGCACTGGGAATGTGTGGGTGCTGTGATAATTCTGGTTATCCAGATTTTTCAGAGAGGTCCCTTTTCCTGTTTGGAAGTTGTGGACTCTGTCCCTCTGGGTTCTCAGCACACAGTTCAACCACCTTCTCCTCCATCCCTCTCAGTGAGTGACCATGGTCAGGGGCCTGTGGAGTGGGCCAGGGCCGGAGGGGCTGGGGCAGGTGAACATAGAACATTCAGGCTCTGACTGTTCCCTTTGGCTCCCTGAGCAGAGCTCCCTGGGCCTCCCTGTCACAGCAGCTCAGCCCAACCCTGGGACTTGCTCAGGCACAATCACTGGGCATCTGCCAGGATGAAGCAAAGGGGGCCGGTGGCAGCTGCAGTGAGTACAAGCCACCTCGGGGCTGGGGCAGGCAATCCTGGGCAAGCCCTTTGCTTCCCACTGAATGCACAACGTGCTGGACCACGGACCCCTGGGCCAGGCGCCCAGACTCTTGTCAGCTCTCCACTAATTCTCCATGTGGCCTCAGCTGCTCTCCCCCAAAAATTAAAGGTCTCGATTAGATGCTCTGTAAAGCCTCTTATCACTGCGAGGTTCTGAAACTGATAAATCCATGTGCACTGCTGCCTGCCCCTTTCCTGGACTTACACTTGAACGTGGCAATCTGGCTACAAGCTCTTCAGGACCAAACCTCAACCCCAGTCTCCGAGGCCCCCTATCCAGAGATGGTCCATCCCAGGGGGATCACCCTGGTGGGCACAGATGCAGGTGCCTCTAGAGCTGACAGAACTGGGTCTGAATCACAGCTCCTTAGCTGTGAGCAATCAGCTCTGGCCTCAGTTTTCTCCACAGAAAAATGCGACAGTAATTAATGTGCATCTCTCTGCATCCTCATTCCTGCCCCCAGGGGCAATTTGAGAAGCAAATGAGATACAAATAGAGCAACAAAAAGATATGCAAAACTGGCACGAGCAAGAATAATAACTGGTAATAATATTACTGCTAATAACAAAGGCAGATCATGCTTCTGAAGAAGGAAAGTGCCATTTGTCTTGCAGGGATCAGGCAGCAGCGCTGACAACAGACAGACTCCACCGAGCCTCTTCAGTCTCCAGGGACCCACTCCAGGATATGCCAGAGTGGTCTGGCCAGCCTCCAAGCCTTCCAGCTGAACCGGGGCTGGAAAAGCGTCTACTGCCTTTCCAGCGAAGTGCTGCTGCCCCTCCTCCCATCCTTTCTCCCTCAGATCCTGGGGGATCTGAAAGGAGACAGAATCATTTCTCTCTTGGGGGTAGAGTGGAGCAGGGAGTCTTATTTGCTTCTTGACCTTGACTTCATGGGAAAGGGGAAGGACAGCATTGTCTTGGAGTAGGAAGAGCTGCACCATCATCCTGCCTGCCTGGGTCCCTGGAGGCACAAGTCCTCTTAAGACAGGCCTGGCTACTGGCTACAGTGGTGTCTGGCCACTTCTCAAAGACTTCCAGTGGTGGCCGCTCACAACCTCACAAGGCAGCAAGTTGCTTTTTTTTTTTTTTTTTTTTTTTTGAGACAGAGTCTTGTTCTGTTGCCCAGACTGGAGTGCAGTGGCACGATCTCAGCTCACTGCAGCCTCTGCCTCCTGGTTCAAACAATTCTCCTGTCTCAGCCTCCTGAGTAACTGGGATTACAGGCATATGCCACCATGTCTGGTTAATTTTTGTATTTTTTTTTTTTTTTTTTTTTTTTGTAGAGACAGGGTTTCACCATGTTGGCCAGGCTGATCTTGAACTCCTGTCCCTGCCCGCCTCGGCCTCCCAAAGTGTTGGGATTACAGGCATGAGCCACTGTGCCCAGCATAAGTTGCTCTTTTGAATCACCTAATTGCTTGTAGAGGAGCAATGGAGGGCCACACAGAAGGGCAAGCACAGAGAACATTCCAGAAAATGCAGGACACTTTCTCTGAGGCACAGCTATTTAACAGGCAACCCCATCAAGGGAGAAACCAGTACAGAGGTCCCAGCTAGAGTCTGAACAAGGGGTGATCCCTCTCCCCTGTCACCTTGCGGAACAAGATGGTCCCAGGACTCTGACTCTGCACTTCTGGCTGCTGTGAGCCTCTTTCTATGAGTGGGTGCTTCTGTTGGGGTCCTGGGTGTTGGCCAGGGAGGGTCCCCTTTCTGCCTGCATCCCAAGAAAACCAGTCTCCGAGAACTTCACCAGAGACTTCCAAGGAGACTTGAGCTCAGTCTTAAAGAAGGGGGCACGCCTTCGGGACCGGTACCCCTGAAATCTGGGCAGAGAGAGCGCACTGGGCAGGAGGTTGAGCATATTCCACTCTGAGGGCGGTCAGGGACCTGTGGAAGCCAGAGCTGGCCCAGGCCACACCATGACGGGCATCTTGAGAAACAGCCTCTGCAGATTCAGGGCCTGGTGTAAATGTGCCCTGGAGGTGTCACCCAGTCACAGAAGGCAGTACTGTGTGGCAGAAAGAGCCTGGCTTTAGAGCCCAACTTCCCAGATTCAAATCCTGGCTTGTCACTTTCATGCTGTGTGACCTCAGGAAGGCGACTTCACTCCTCTGAGCCTCTGGTTCCTCATCTGTGCACTGGGGCGATGATGCCGTGTGGTGATTGTAAAGAGTTAGTGTGCATGCAAGTCTAGCGGCACCTGGACACATAATTCAAGCAGTGAGGACCGGCATCTTTCTCCCCTTTCCGAACTGCTAAGACGGACCCCTGCTGAGGCAGGAGGGAGAGTGCAGCTCGCTCTGGCCGGAAATCCATCCTTTGATCCTTAATCAGACACTAATGGGCACATCTATCTTCATTGTTGTTTGAGAGATGGTGGTAAAAAAAGTTGATAAAGAAACCACAGGAGACCAAGATGGAGCAACCCCAAGGAAGTCACTGAAATCTGCAACGCAGAGTGGTCGAGGTCTCCAATGCCCTGGACCATCTACCGCTCTGATAATGAAAAGCGAGAGAGGCTTGAAAACTGAATTTAACTGACATTTATGTTAAGGGCTAGAGGCTGAGGGGCCTCCATAGGGAAAACTCCTGCAGCCAGAAGCGCCCAGTTCGTGGGATGCTGGAGTCCTCTTCAGGGCTAGAAGCCATCCTTTTCTCCTGCCTTCTCCTCCCGTTGCCACAGCAAACACAGAACCTCCTCTCTCGACTGCCATCTCCACGGGCCATTTGGAAGCCAGGGAGCTGCCTCCTGCATCTTTACAGGGGTCAGACCCTCCTGGGGATGTGGGGCCAGAAGGGAAGATCTGAGCATGTGGGGCAGAGTGACTCCATGAGGACATCACGCAACCCCGCCTTGGCTCTGGGCTTCTCGCCTTGGGTTTTCTCATGGTGACATCCATCTGTTAAAGATCTTGCTTATGGAGCAGACCTGGGGTTTGATGGAGAGAGACTTGCTGGAGACACAGCCACCCACGCACACCGCAACTAACTCCCCAGCCCAGCCTCCGCCCTGTCAGTGATTCCAGGAATTCCAGGCAGGTGGTCCGTGTCCCTTCTCCCTTAATGCCAAAGTCAGGTTCTTTGCACTCGTGACCTCCCCTTAAGCTGACGCACTGGCAGATGATATACGGCAGCAGTGACGGATGTGATCAGTAAGAACTGGTAGCCATGAGCAGGCACTGTCTGGAGCCAAGCTAGGAATCCTATTACCATGGCTGCTTCCAGGGAAGAGTGCTGCTTCTGGACACCTAAGATGTCCCTTTGCCTGTCGTCAAGAACGCTCATTTCTCCTGAGACCAGAGTGAAAAGTTCAGCTTTCTTGTAATTGTCCCTAAACCTACACACGAGCTTCCTAACCAGCTTTTTAAGTTTCTCTACCACAGAGGGTGTTATTGACACAATTTTTCTTCTTTTTTTTTTTTTTTTTTTTGCAGTGTACAAAGTGAGGAGAAAGCCTCTCTGGGCCTAGAGGTGAGCCCCCTTCTGGGACCTTTGCCACTCTATCTGCACAGGGAGGCTGCCTTGGGAAGGTGTGGGGTTGGGGGTCGGTCCTGTGCAATAAGATTTCCTAAGGAAGAAAGAAAAGTCTGCCCTTCTTTCTGGTTTTTACTTGGAAGCTTCCTTGTTTGCCAGGACCCCAGATGCTGATTTTTGAGAATTTAAGGAAGTGGCTTGGGCAGAAGCACTTTCACGCTGCAGGAGAATGCACGGTATCCACACTGAGTGTAAAGGACGGGTGACTGAGCAGCCTGCCAATCTGGCATCCACCTTCAAGATGCCTGGACATTCTCCCCAGGGCGGCTTCTCAGCAACCTCCTCAGGGAAGTGCTTAGTTGGGGCAGAGAGAGCAGTGAGCTGAGCAGTGAGAGAGAGCAGTGAGCTGAAACAGAAAGGACACATCTTCCTCTCCCGACTCCTCCACGAACGTGCCTGGTGACCACAGGCAAATCACCCCCCTCTCTGACCCATGCATTGAATAATTCAGTGGACATGAATCTTGTTCATCTTTAAAATTCCACGATTCCTCAGAGAAGAAAGAGCATCCTCATGTGGGTGGCCTGAAGAGTCCACTGCCTGGCAGATCTAGCTCTTAAAGACATCCTCTCCCATCCTCTCCCCTCCTCTTCTTAAAAAGAAGAGAAAGTCCGGCCAGGAGATAAAAACCACTAACAACACTCCCAGAAACCCCACCCTATTACCAGTAACCCCCATCCCTGGGTCTCCAGATGCACTTGGGTCTTGGAAGGGACCGGGTGTCTGGTGACAAAGGTGCCATTTCAAAGTCAAATTAGGAACATCCAATGGCCCTACTAGATGGCCAAGGGACTGAATGTTAAACCAGAATTGGGTCAGGAACACTGAAGTCCTGAGGGTTGCTCCTGCCCCAGCACCCCACACCCTAGGTTCGATAAGTTTGCATAAAAACAAAACACACGAGTGATTATTTACCACCAGCAAGCGACCATCAAACCGTGCCTATGTTTTAAACCTAACTAGCTGTTCCATCTAGTCTCCTGTTCCTGGAATGTAGTTTCAAGGATCCCCAATCTGCCCTCTGAAGGCCTTGCCCCATCATGCCTGTAGGGGTGGGAGGCCCATACTTCCATGTCTTCTGACTCAGCTTGACCACAACGTGGGATATTTGAAATCAGGGCTGCTGGGGGGAAATTCCAGAAGGATGGCTGCTGCCTCTGGTCAAAACTCCTGGTTCTAGAACATGAGAGCAGCCAAAGGCCAACAGCAAATCAGAGCTACGTGCCAAGCCTCACCCCATGGTGGTGGAGGGTGCGCCGTCCTCAGAAGGTGAAGGCGTACACCACACCCACCACCACGATGTTCCCCAGCGTGGCTATGATGGCAATCCATAGCAAGACGGCGTCGTTGGAGGACCGAGGAGGATCTTCCGGCTGGCCCTGGCCGTTGGCAGCTGCGTGGACATTGGCAGAGGAGTTAAACAGGGAGTACTCGGTGCTGAAGTCCTCGTTGGGCGAGTCCATGAAAGCTCCTCCCATCATGGGCAGCTGCAAAGAAGGAGAGAGAGAGACAATTATCCAGGGCCATGGGAGCTTGGGTAGATGTGCCCTCTAAAAGGGATGTGGCCTGGCCAAACAGCCCCACATGAAGCTATGACTTCTACTGCACCTGCAAAACAGGGCTTTGCTTTCATGGTTTTATAATTGATGGTGCATATGGTAATCTATAAAAAATTAGTGTTCACAGCAGCCTGTTGAGGCAGACGTTGTCATGCCCACGCTACTATGAAAGCATCAAGGAACTCACCCAACAGCTAGCTGGTGACTCATTAGGACTCACAGCAACCCCTCCAGCCATTCCTCTCCCCCAATGCCAGGCTCCTCCATGACAATATGGGTTGTAAAATACCTTCATTTCTCTTCTAATTTTAAAAATAATATATGCTTAGCATAGAACACTAAGAAAACACAAAACAGGATAAAAAAACGAGAATCATGATCCCACTACATGATCACTGCTCACATTTTGATGGTTTTTATTTCCAATCTTTTTTCCTCTGTATGTGTGTGTGTGTATGTGAGAGAGAGAGAGAGCGAGCGAGCGAAAACACATTTAAATGTGTTTTTTAATCCATGTTTCAAAATGACCATCAAAATTCCATTTTAACAGTTGTATATTATTCTATCACGAACATAAGCCAAAATGTAACCACTGCCCTAGAGTTGGAGATTTAGCAATTTCCACTTTTCCTATGAAAAATAATGCACCGATCAACACCCTTGTACATCCTTTAGCATGTACCTGCATCCTTGTACACACTTTGTTATTTATTAGGGCAGACTCCCAGACACACAATTTCTGAGTCGATGAGTATGAACACTGTATACCTTCCGGTGGATAGGAACAAATACCCCAGAAGAGTGACCCTAATTCCCACCGCCTGCGCCGCACACCACTGCACACGGGATGCCAGAATGTTTGCATTCATGGATGAGAACTTCCCATCTCTGTTTTTAAAGGTTCTCTGCTGCTCAGACTTCAGGTGGGAGGTGAGGTGCTCCAAGGGAGGGGGTGATCCTGGACACAACAGTGAAGAGGAGGCCCCTCCCTGCCCCAGCCCAGGAGGCCCACATCCAGGCTTCCCAGGCCCTCTCCAGAGGCAGAATGTGCATCTGCATTCCCGGGCTGGCACTGACACCTATTTGGCCCATAATCAATGTTTCTTTTGAAGGGAACCTGAGTGAATGAACACGACACAGTGATGCCTGCGTTGGATGCACAGTTACCAAGCACTGCCTGAAACAGTATTCTGCGTGGAGCTCCTGCTATGGTCAGGGGTTGTGCTAGAGATATTAAAATACTCTCAATCATTCAACTATCCTGGCAGAGGCTACTACTGCAACCCCATTTTACAGATGGATAAGCAGAGGTCAAGGCCATAGCACTAATCTGTGGTGGTGTCAGGGTTGAGCACCAGGAGTGTCCAACTATGAGCCCAGGTACTCCCTGCTCCGCATGCAGCCCCATGGGCTTCAGGGTCAGGCTCCTGGAACATGAGAGGCACACGGGTGCCTGGGCAGCTGCTGCTCAGAAGCTCTCTGGCCTGCTTTCAGTCTCAGTGGCCTCTTCTTAAAGGATGACCATTACCAGGTCACCAGGTGGCCCTTGAGCATCTGCTTCTGATGGGCTCCTGCCAGGAGGCACTCGGCACCTATATTCCTAACATGGTGCTGTCCTTGAGGGGATGGAGCAAGGCAGTTGTGGACCTTGACAGTGCAGTGACTAGAAGGGACTGTTATGGGGCTCAGGGCAGGCCAAGCGCAATTTCCGAGTGGGGGCTGCAGGTTACCATGCTGTGTTCACCCCTCGAGGGGTACATTTTTATATAAGTACTTCTTATATATATAACATTCTATTAATATATTTAAATTAAATATGATGACCAATGCAGACAAGAATATTACAATAGTTTTTCTTAGGCTAAAAATACAATTTTAAGTGGAAATAAAAGAATTGCAGGTCAGATGGGGTGCGGGTGAATCAGACACATGCCAGCCTAATGGGCGGCTTCCCCTTCCCCAGGTGACATCATCAGTGCCTTTGCCCAGCCTGTCCACAACAGAAGGCCTCCCAGGCTAAGGTAAAGTCACCAACATTTGCTGGTGGCCTCTTGGAAAGCAGGCTCAGTGTGGGAAGCTGTGCTTTCTTCCTCTTGGGTGTGACAAGGGCTGCGGGGGTTTGTTCTGCCCCCACATCCCCCCATGACCCCTGCCAGATTCCCTGGAATTAACCAGAGTTCCCGTCCCTTCCCACTCATTGCTTCTTGTCTCTCCTCCCTCACCAGGCCCATGCTGCTGGGTGCTCAGACAGATGGCTCCCTGGACTCCACGCATGGGATCTGATCCACTCTTCCACCCCATGGAGCTCTCTGGGCATATGTCCCGTCTCTCTCCTCTCTTTAGAGCAAATGTGAATGAGATGAGTATTTTCATCCAGATTACTGGGGAAAGAGGGAGGGAATCTGGACAGATCCTTTTGTAGGACTCCCGCCAACCGGGTCATCAGGTGGCCCTTGAGCACCTGCTTCCGATGAGCTCCTGCCAGGAGGCACTCGGCACCTGTATTCCAAACACTCCTGCCAAACAGGTCAGAGTGATGCCCTCCAGCCTCTGCACCCCTCACTTCTCTGCCTCCCTGCAGGTATTTATTTAATACCTTTGCATGTCAGTTTCCTGTTGCTGCTATGACTAATTACCACAAGCACAGTGGCTGAAAACAGCACTAATTTATCATACAGTTTCAGAGACCTCACTAGACTAAAATCGAAGCGTTGGCAGAGCTGCACTCCTTCTGGAGGCACTAGGGGACAATCTGTTTTCTCCTCTTTCCCAGCTTCTAGAGGCCGCCCACATTCCTGGGCTCATGACTGGGCTCATGGCCCCTTCCTCCATCTTCAAAGCCAGCAGTGTAGCATCTTCCAATCTCTCTCTCTCATCTTCCAATCTCTCTTTCTCATCTTCCAGCCTCACTCTTATAAGGGCCCTTGTGATGACACTGAGCTCCCCTGGCTAATCCAGGCCACTCCTACCATCTCAAAATCCTTAACTTAATCACACCTGCAAAGTCCCTTTGGCCATGAACGGTAACCCATCCACAGGTTCTAGGGATTAGGATGTGGACATCCTTGGTGGGGGCATCATTCTGCCGACCACATCCCGGACTTCTGTTACAGAAAGGAGTCAGGATGGTGTGCATAACTGGATGTCCACTTCCCATTAGACAGAGAACTCTTGAAGGCAAGGATATGGTCTATTTATCACAAACTCCCTCAGCACCATCCTTAACATACAAAAAAAAGTGACAAGTAAAAGCATGCAGAATTAATGAATATGAAATCAGCAGGAGGGTTCCCCACAGGCAGTACTTCATAAACCCCAATCCTGGAGCTCCCAGGTGTGGGACAGGCCTCACGGGGAGTCCCCTTTGCCCTGCACCTGTGGTGGGAGCTCAGAACTGCCAGAGAGGATGGTCAGTGTTGGATGGATTCTGCTGTCTCGGAGTGTGGGAAACGAGGGTGGGTTCTGGTGTCAGAAAGGCTCGGGGTGAATCCACATACGGTGGGGCTTGGGTGAGTGACTTACCCACTTGCCTCACTTTCCCTTCTGTAAGTGATGAAGAGAATGCAGTCCAACCAGCGAGACTGTTGCAAGCAATGAATAAGATCATGTATAAGAAAGCATGGCCCCAAACAGTTACACAACAATTACCAACCAGTATTCCTTCCCTCTGTCGTCCTTATCGGAGAGTATTATATGCATCTCTTATCCAGCTGCTTAAGCTAAAGTGAGGAAATCAGGAACACGGCATTTCTGGTCTTGTGCTTTTTGTGTGATTGATAACTAGATACTCATTTTTAGTTGTCAGCAGATGGCCACCCGTGCCCCCAACGTATGCTGAGACAGGCGGCTGAGAGGTGCTCCAAAGCTGGTCAGCCCTGTTGCTCCATCCGTCTCAAGTTTGTTGGTTTTATTTTGTTTTGATATTTTTTTCTTTGTAAAATAGGTTCTAAATGGAAAGTGCTGAGTTAGACATAAAAACAACTTCAACCATCCTGGCTAACACAGTGAAACCCCACCTCTACTAAAAATACAAAAAATTAACCAGGCGTAGTGGCGGGCGCCTGAAGTCCCAGCTACTCCGGAGGCTGAGGCAGGAGAATGGCGTAAACCCAGGAGGCGGAGTTTGCAGTGAGCTGAGATCGCGCCACTGCACTCCAGCCTGGGCGACAGAGCAAGACTCCGTCTCAAAAAAATAAAAATAAAAATAAAAAAATAACTTCAAACAGCAGAATTCCATGACTCGAAAACAAAAAGTCAGTCTCAATTCCAACATTTGGAAGTTACGAAAATTTGATGAGGATCTGGCTTGTGGTCAGCACGAAGGGTGTTGGCTGAGGTCATCCTGGAAGCAGGTGGTGAGAGAATGTCACTCTCAAAGCCCGCCCGACCAGCTCCAGTCTACTTTTAGCCATTTTTAAAGATGCCCTTTTGGTGGCACGCCACTGCTGGAAACGAGCAGCTGGGCTTTCTCACACCAGTGGGCAGGGGTGGCCACCGGCCTTCAGAGAATGGGACTCTTGGATGAGGTTTTGACTCAGAGCAGATTTGGGGGGTGTGATCCTAACCTTAAACCCTAGAAAAGCTACTGTGTAGAAAAGAGAGTGGCTTAAGGGGGCAGAACAAGAAAACTAGTCTCCTGTTGCTGAGTTAGACACTGGCAACCAGGACAACATGAGGTGACCTGGGGGGCGATGGTGGCCTTGATTCCCTATCAGAGGAGATATTCATGTCAAGATTAAAAACAAACAAACAACAACAAAAAAAACATTTGTTGGCCGGGTGCGGTGACTCATGCCTGCAATCCCAGCACTTTGGGAGGCCAAGGTGGGAGGATTGCTTGAGGCTACGAGTTCAAGATCAGTCTGGCTAATGTAGTGAGACTCTATCTCTATAAAATATTTAAAAAATTAGCGGGGTGTGGTGGTGTA